GTTGACGCTGTTTGCCAAATTACCCGACGCCCGACTTTTGGCTAATTACCAGGGCATTATTAACATATTGCCAAGGGACAAGGACTCAGGACTCAGGACTCAGGACGTGGAACTCAGGACGGGCGTAACGATAACGATAAACAGCGGCGATAAGCAGCGGCCATTGTGTCTCTATCCGGCTTCTATTTACCATGCAAATATTTGCCAAAGACAAAGTAACCGATTCCAAAGCCAGCCAATGCCAGTTCCCAAATAAATAAGGTAAGGCCAGGCATTCAAGAATCAGCATTCTGCCATACACCATCAACCATTCAGCATCCAACATTCGGCATTCAAGCGTTCGGCGGGCAAAGGACAAAGGGAGACCCACAAAGGGACCAAGGACCAAGGACGACGGCGTTTTACGGGCTCTTGGGGCAATCAGCACGCAGCCAAACGAGAGAGAAATCAAAGATTTGCCAATCGGAATGCCTAGCAATTTGTGTCGACTTTTTTATTCCAGCGGCAATCCGTGCCAGGATGGCAACAGGCTGAAGCACGAGCTCGGATAAATCCGAGCATTCCGCGCACAAAGGCGTCAAAAGCAACCACGCGGCGTATACTTGATGTTTAGCTTTGCAATCCAATTAGCAGTGCAATTAATGTAATTATTTACTATGAATTTATTAATCACTTTGATTTGAAGTTAAAATACAGCTATGCCTAAATAAAATATGAAGTTTAAAATTCTCAATTAAACAGATTTAAAACGGGTTAGCCAGATTTAAATATTTCGATAATAATTTATCAATTTATTTAATGATCTGCAAAAGGCAAACCATTTGGAATTCGGCGGTAGTTTTGCAAATAATTTATAAATTCATATTATTTTTTGCATTTTTATTAATTCAGTTAATTCGTTTTAAATCTGTTTTTTCCAATTCCCTCCGCTTTATCCCATTTTACTGCTTTTTTATACGTTTTTTATTGGATTATTTTACGGCTTTGGTTAGCCAATAGTCAATTAAGCAATTTGCGCATTTCTTATTTCACACTCACTGAATTGTCGCTTGTACTGGTTTATCACACCAAAAAAAATTTGTAAAACTATTTAAAGGGGCGTGGTTAATTAATGTAATTAACACAGAATTTTCCTAGGACTTTTCAGTTTTTTTTTTTTTTTTTTTGGCAAAACAATGGGCGCGTAGAGAGGTGAATTTTAAACGGGCAACGACGATCGCCGACAAGATGCGCCAGGATTCAAAAGGAGCAACGAGGACGAGCGACGCGATTTCCGCTCGCGCGTTTTCCGTGCGACTTCAGCGGTGCGACTTTAGCAGCTGGCGTTTTGGGCAGAACTGAGCGAAGACGCTGCTGCGAAAAATCGGAAAATCGCACACGCACATGTCGCCAGTTTCCATTCGACATTTTCCGAATTATCGCAGCAGCCGCGCGCCCAGCGAGCTTTCAAAACATCCGCATGAAAGCTGCCGCCTGTTTGTGGCACCTAAGCTTTTCCCGTCACGTGGAAAACAGAGGACAGCGCTCGGAAAAATGCGGAAAGCGGCGAGCAAAACAAACCCGCCGAAAGCAAAATAAAGTCGAAATTGAAGCCAAACCACTGGGATATTAACTCTTTTTTAGTATCAAGAAGCTTCATTAAATATGATACTGTATATACATCATTTTACTATTTTAATAACCAAACTGTTGAATCCAGCTTTAAGTTGTTGAAAATTTGATTTTTTTACAATGCAACTTCATCTCTAAAATGTTAATTTCAATGGGAACATAGTTAGAAACTTTTCTAAATTGCTAGTTTATAGATAATTTTTTATAAAGCCCACGCGTTTCTAAAGCTCAAAGTAAACAAAAAACTTTACTTAGGGAGCATAATGACAGAACGTGCTTAATGAAGTTACTTTTAAAGTTTTTCCCTTTTACTATTCTTTTTAAAGTTTGAACCGTGTCAGCAAAGGCAATGAACGCGAGAGGGAGACGATGGCCACTTAATAGAACAAATCAGTTCGGAAACTTTGCCAAGTAAAAAGTCATCAAGATGACTAAGTATCCTTTAAGCTAGACACCCAAAATAAATACCTTTCCGAAAACGTCTTGAACATATAAATATTGTGTAGCATCTTGTATACATTTGTATATTAAAATGATAAGCGCTCTGGGGCTGCAATCATTGAGAATAAATTAATTACGCCGCTTAGCTTTTTTTCTTTCCTCGGGGTATTATTAAGTCGATTACCACCCATTTCCCCAGCGCATACGTGTCCTTAGTCTTGTGCTTTTCGGGACCGTGACAGAGGAATGAATAATGTGCACCTGGGCGAAAAAAAAAGGGGATTGGGTTGGGAGATGGGATCTGCAGCAACCCCTGGGAGCAACGAGGGTTAACCAACGCCGTTGATCAACCGCCTCTGTTTGTTTTGTTTGTCTTGACTTTGCGTCCATTTAGCATATTTCATGGTCCTTCGTCCTTCGTCCTCCGTCCTGCGTCCTGCGTCCTGTGCCATGAAAAATCCTTTATGGCAAGTGAATGGAATAACCAAGCAGCCAGCCGACGCAGCTGAATAAAAGTCACTGGCTACATAAAAGAAAAACGAACCGCTTTCCGCTTGCTTAGCTTTTCCAAGTTTTTCCTTTCAGCTAATGTCTAATAAGCAATTTCCCCCTTTGTTTTTTCCCTGTCAATTGAAAGATTTTTACAAATGATGCTGGCCACGTTTTTTTTTGGCAAAGTTAGACGGCAAAAGAAAATCTTAAAAAAAAAAAAATACCATGTGGAAAGTGAAAACTCAGCAACAGGCCCGCGGTCAAAAGTCGAAAGAGTCTAGGGGGTCATAAATTTTGTTTCGCCAACAGCTTTTCAATGCCATTTTCCAAATGCAGTGGAAAACGCCACACACAACGCTGTGCAACGTTGCGTATGCTTAACGCTCGAAAGCGAAATGATTTATGCGCTGCACGAAGACAAAGAAAAAAGGAAATCTGGAAAATGGGGAAAACAAAAAACAAAGAGTGGAACATGTTGAATGGCAGGAGCGGTTAACATTCCTTTTTGAATAGTTGTAGCTTTTCTAGAGGAACTTAAGCTTATAGCAGCTTTAAAGATAAAATAAACTTATTGCACAGGATTTGCAACAGGCTTTTAAGCTTTCAAGTAAGGAAGCTTGTGTAAGCTAAAAGCTCGAGGTAAAGGATACAAACTTTTAAACTTGAAATGTAGCTTTTAAATGTAAATAGGAAGTTGTTTTTGAATCGGTATTTCAAATGTTAATTATAGTGAGGTTAAGTTAAAATGTATATTACCTAAAATGGTATAAATAAAATGTCCATAAACTCTGATTCAATAAATACTTTCTATGTGCTCAGACTAGTTACGTTTCTGGTCTTGATTCCCAGAAACCTATCAATGGCTATCTTTCTACTCATCTCCTTTCATTTCTAATAACCACCACAAGTTAAGGGGCTTGCCACTTTAAATTAAAGTTTTAATGTCACTGAACCATCGCTCCCTCCGGCGAACATTTCTCCCAACAAAGTGCCTTTTTCTGCTCGTGTTGTTCGTCTGCCACGAAAGGAGAATCAACTCCCCAATGACGACTGCCATAAACTGCAGCAGTTTAATTGCAAATTGCAGGGAACTCGCCTGGTCGGGCAATTACAAAACGGAAGACTGGGCAAGCGAAATTAAATCAAATTCTCTGGACAGACACAGAGCTCATAACTCTGGGGCAAATGGGGTTAAGTTCACTATGCACATAGAGAAAATCCAGTCATTAACTAGATCCATTGAAGATGTTTTGGGTTATTCCAAAATAAGTTTTCAGATATTTTAGTCAACAAATTCCTAGCTAAAGCTTTATAAATAAATGCAATACTGTTTATGTTACTCAACATTGTCGCTTCAGTGCAATGATGTTATTTCATTTTACTAGTGCGTTTCAGAAAGACATCTTGTTGCACCCTCGGCGGAAAAGCGACACTGAAAATGCATTTTCCACGGGCGGGACTCATCATCGTCCGTCCATTCAGCATATCCTATGACTATCCCCGCCACTCTCTCCTCAATTGCCACTGCCACTGCCACTCCCACCTGCACCTGCAGCAGCAGCTGCACCATCATCGTCTTCATCATCGGGCACTTGTCTGCCGCTCTTGTGTCGCGTTCTATTTCTATTTCCATCCTCGCCGGCATCCTTTCCATCCTTTGGCAGCTTCCGCAACGCTGACGCACACCGGAGTGTGATTATGCACTGGCAGAAATATTTCGAAAGATCTGGCATATTTCATCAACTAATCCAGAACTAAGACAAAAAAACCAAGGCTTTTCTCTTTAGCTTAAATCAGTGGAAAAGCTTCACAAAATGATTATTTTTTTTATTAATCCTTTAAGAACTTTCACGTACTTATTAGCTCTATTGTTTGTAATTTTTCTCAGTGCATGGCCGGGAAAAAAGTATGGTTAGCGACTTCCTTTCCGCTTGCGTAGGTGTTTTGCTCGTGGCCATCTTTTGGCCTTAGTTTGCCATTTTTCTTCATCTTTTGTGAGCGCTGATGAATTCGTTAGACGCAACGCCCCCTCAGCCACACCCTCATGTTTCTACCCCCCCACCCCATCGACCCCCCTGCCAACCCACCACCCATGGTCGCACCTTTGGGGCAATCGTGCGCAGGTTGTAAACAACAGCAGGCGGGTGAAAAGAATGGAAACAAAAACCGCAATAAGTGAACATTTCACTGTCGCATCCTTGACGTCAGCGGCAGCGGCAGCGGAAGAAATGCGGGAAAATCCGGAAAACCCAGAGGAAAAACATCTGGAGGGAAGCCTCCAGAAGCAGCAAGAATGCAAACTGGTCAAACACCGAATGGGGAGCCACAGCACTTACAGAATTTTCAAGTGCACCACAAAATATTTATCCAAATCAATATAAAAAAAAGAGTTTAGTGAATTTGAACAAGTGCCCTTAACAATATATATTTGCTTATAAAATCACAAACATCTGACTGTAAACTATGACCCTGATAAGCAAAATAAGCGTTATACTCTGCCTGTTGCTCCACATCCAATTGGGTCAAGTGCAACAATGCCCGGAGGATGCCAATGATGCTTATGAGCAGTGGAACCCCAATGCGCATCGGCCAAAGAAACAAAAAACTTGGGAATTGGAATTGGAGGAGGATCTGGAGCCAGAGGAAGATCAGTGGCAGGTGAACACCTGTGTGGCGGATCAATCGGCTGTTTGTCCCGCCGAAAACCCGCACGATGTGAAGTACGAACTGCCCAACGATTTCAGATACTTCAAGAACAATCGGTGCAAGAGTCCCAAGACAATTTCCAAGGACGAGGACGACGACGAGGATGCCGATCCTGCAGCCATGGGCGATGACGATGATGCCGATGACGATGATGAGGACGATGGCGATGATGAAAACGATGAAGACAACGAAAACGATTTCAATGGCGAGGACGAGGCCTTTGCGGCCAGGATCTCCTGTTTGCTGGGAGCTCTCCAAAAACACACACAAGCAATGAACGACAATATTCAGGTTTTACAATCGCGTTTGGCCAAGAAAAAGTGCCCGAGCAATGCCAACTTGAACACTATAATTCCGGAACATCCGCAATCGAAGTGGCTAAAGAAACCAGAAGGTTTCGGGGAACGCGAGCCATTTGTACAGAAAACCAACACTGACTTTGAAGACCTTCTGCCACCGATCTCGAGCACCAAAATCGCATATGGTGACCATCATCGGATGCAGGTATCACCGCTATTGCAACTCATCCAAAGGCCGACCTCGTTGCAATCGCACTTAAAGAGTCCCAAGGACAAAGAAAAACCAGAAGCACACCACTGGATGCAGATGAGGACGCGGGGATCTCCTGCGGAATTTCAGGATACAATTAAATCGCATCCAGATGAAGAGCCCCAAGTGAAGTACGAGGAATACGAGGCGAGAATGAGGCGTCTGATGGCCAATCGGGATGTCATCGAGCGAAAGGTGATGCAGGTGATGGGCCCCATTTCCCTGATGGACGTTTGATCCGTTTTAGAATTTAAGCCTTATAAAATATAAGGTATATTCTGAGGCCATTAATAAAAGATTATATAATTGAATGCTTATAAATATGTAATGATTTCTCCGGAGCTCGCGTAAAATCATACTTAAATATCCAAAAACCAGAAAGCAAATTTCAAAAACCAACAATCCCAGTTGTCCATTTCTATTCCTGTCAACTGAAATGAATATCAACGTTATTCATTTCAAGTATAGTGATCAAGCCGACAACATATCCAAAATGACTTCCATGAATTTACTGATTGTTCTCTACGTTTTTTTGATGATCGGCGGTTTCTGGGATGTGGAAGGAAGGCGCCCATCGAAAAGACGATTCCTGTACAACTACGACGATGACACGGATGTTTTTGGGAAGCAGTCGGATTGGGAAGACAAATCGAAATCACGATCTTACGATAATTACGATGTCCTGGACGAGTCACTGGATAACTTTGATTTGGATTTCGACATGGGCAATGACATTCCCGACGCGAAGTACCGGTCGCAAAATAAACCACAGAGAAAGTGGGGCAACTCCTATTCCTCGATGGACAAAAAACAAATGGAGCCACGGAAGCCAGCCGGAGATTTCGATTTCGACTTCAAACTAAGCGACGAGGAAAACGATCAGCAGCACTAAAAAAAAAAAACCAAAGAATCACTTAAACCCCAACAGCTTTATATTTTATTTGATCTGTTACTTAGCCTGTTCCGTTTAATCAAGATCATATTACCACCAATAACAAAAATACACTTTAACACCGAATGTTTAGCTTAAGTATTTAATTTATTAAGCGGACGGAGATTCTATTTTTTGCCCTCTAAAAGTCCGTTTTTTGGCCTTAACAAATATTGGTCGCAATGTGGAAAGTTATATCTGGTTCAACTCATAATCAAATTTCCAATCGGATGGCATTTAAGGATACTACATTTTTAAAGTCAAGCCATTTTTGGAAAACGATCCAAAATGTTTCAAAATTTGTCTTAAAAGTGATTAGAATTATTTGCTAAGTTTCTGGGCTATACAAAAATATTACATTTTTGGACGCTGGGTCACTTCTTGAATGAGTTACAAACTAAATTCAATAGAAAACTGCCTAAAAACCAAGAACATTTTTTTCTGGTAATGGTTATTTTACTAAAATTGGTTTAACAAAATTTATTCTTTTACTAGAACAACCAGCTGTGAAAAAAGCTTAACTTGCCTTCTGAATAAATTTAGGAAAATTCACTTCGGAAAGTCGGTTAAATTTAAAGCCATATGTGAGGCAACATTCAATTTGTTGCTCCACTTTCTGCCACATCATCGAATCGAATCAACTTTGACTGATTTTCCTGTTGAGTCAGCTGGAAGCTCTTCCCCTTTCCATTCGCCATCGCTTTTCCCCGCTCTTCGGTCTTTTGTGGCGACGAGTGTCGAATGGAACCAACTCGGAGCTGGAAAACTTTGGCGTAGGTGTCAAAGCCAGTCAATCATTCAGTGCACCCGGCTGCAGTCCCTCCACCGATTTCTGTCTGAATTCTGTCAAATTAGTGCAGCCTATTTCAGTTGTCATATTCAGTTGTCAGCCGTTGCCTCTATCCCTGCCACGCCCCCTCGGCCAACAAAGCCCACCACCAAGAGTATTGGAGTGTGAGTGCGGAAAGGCGGAAGAATTGTTTTTGCTCGTCTATGGTTTTTGGATGGAGGAATTATAAGTAAGCTTAATACCCTTTTATATTTAAGTGTTTTTTATTAATTACATTTAAATTAATTACATTACTTGGCTAACAAGCTGTTATTTTCTTTTTTATTTTTCAAAGGAAAATGAATATATTGATAATTTACCCAAGGTTCGACCCATTTTAAAGAGTAATTCCTAACTTTCACCAAACTTGTCTCCCTGTTTCCAAGTGTGTGTGTTTGTGTGTGTGTTTGTGGGGGTGTAACTTACGAATGTGTGCATGGGCTGTGTCGAGTGTGTTTGTGTGTGTGTGTATGTGCTTGTGGGTTTTCTTATTTGCCAACCGCTTGTCGCTCGAGTTGCCTCAAAATGGCTCAAAGCAATTTTCAAATTGTTTTCGCAATCACAACGAAATCGATTTGCAAATATACACAGCTCCTTCAGAAGTCTACAACAAGTGCCACGCCCATTTGGGCCACGATTTGTCCGGCATTTGATGTTCACCTCTATGTAGCTCTAGCTAGAATTATGTCCGGAGCGTAGTTAAAATGTTTACGGCCGACGCCAAGGATACGCAGGATTTGCTCCTCGGATTTCCGGCGATTTATTTCCGCTGATAAAGTGCGATTTGAAAAGCGATTTACACAAACAAATCTCTCTTTTGTCCGCTCAGCAACTGATTGGTTTTATGGCCATGTCAATTGTTTTGTCGCCTTTTCTTTGCTTACTTCTTTTTTCTTTTCTTTTTTTTTCGTTTTTTTTGGGCACATTTTTATGAGAGGGCCTCATTGTGTTCTGTTGGCCCTTTTTTTTTGGGGGGTGTTTAAGCGTCGGTGGCATGGGTATAATAACTTATCGAGGGCTCAACGCTTGGATGGCTAAGCATCTACAACTTTCCTGTCGGTTTTTATTAAATTTTTGCGCGCGCGACGTTTAATAAACGAAAAATAGCTGGCATAGCTTCGCGCCACATGGCGTATACTTGATGTGTCAAGCGCGGGCAGAGAAGCGTTGGCAATGCGAGAACCGCAGCTTAAATGCCAGTTTAAAGAGGAACGCAGGACGGAGGACGCAAAACGCTATGTGGGCCATGTCGGCCCAAACTGAATTATGAATGAACGAAAGGTGGAAAGCAGCGCCAGCTGCGACGCTGCCAACTGAGAAAATAATTTATCTAAAGATAAAGTCATACTATCTCCCAATAAAGCAAATAAACATAATTGAAAAGTATTGTAAGATGAAAATGTGCTAAAAAGTTTACTTTTAGTTCTTAAACTTTTTTAAAAAATGTAAGGTAGATTTAAAATATTTGTATTACTAATTAGAATAAGCTTACAAGTTCTTAAACTAATGTTATATTCCCCAACATTTCTGTGATTTTCCAGAATGAATATTAGCCAATCGTTTTTGTGTTACTTTACTATTTTTTAGCAGTGAAGCAACAGAATCCTTGCCTGCCTTGCACTTTGCACTTGTCTCGGCAAGGTCAGCGCAAAGGGGGTGGTGTTGGTGGTGGTGCTGGTGGTGTAGGGAGCGGTGGTGGGTTGAGTGGGCTAAATACCGGGGAGGTGGAGGTGGTGCGGTGGCTCTCGTTTGCTGCCGCTCTGAACTTGAACTTTGTCAGACCGAAAACAGATGCTCGCTGTCTGCTAAGTCGGCTTTAATTATGGCAGACAACACTTTGCACGCTCCTCTCGCAGGAGAAACAGGGTGTTTGCAAATGCTAAAATAAAAAGTGTGTGGGCCTTAAAAAAATACACAGGTCTTCAGTTACCGCCGAGCAATTAGAAGCGAGGCTACAAATTCTGCACACGCCTCGCGCATAAATTCGCTGGCCAAGAAAGAGATGGCAGGGCAAAAGGAACAGAAACAATGCCGGTGAAAGAAAGAGATGGCAACAAGAAGTTAAAGGGAGAGGGGAACAAAGCTGAGCTGGCGACAAGGATTCCCCGCATTCTGCCATGTTTTCCGCTATTTATTCAAGACCGAAACTGTTTCTCCGTCTTGAACAACAAGTGAAATATGATACCAGCCATTGCGCCTTACCTTTACCGTTACCTAACCCCCCGCACCACCGCGATATGCGATATATATATATTTATATATATACGAAGCAACATAATCATATTCATGACAATATAATGGCATCGTTAGATAGGCACAGAAAAGTCGGTCGCCTGGAAGTCCTAGGCAACCGCAGAAGTCGCTTTCACTTTTTCCCACTTTGCGCCAACGGCTGTCCATTAGCCAAGTCACTGAGTCCACCAAAAGTCGGTCTACAATGGGGTGGTTCTCTGGATGGGATGGTGGTTGGCGATGGGGGATGGGGGGCCTTTACCTACGGGGCATCTTCATAAATTCACCGGAACGTCAGGACACGTTGACGCTGTAAAGTTTTCCGGTGCTTCCGCTGAGGTCTCTAAATAATTTCATTGCCACCGCGTTTCGGTACTTAATAATTGTAAACAATAATGACAGGATGGAAGAATGGCTCTCATTGCAAATCAAATCAAAAAGTGTACTTGGTAATTTGATACAACATCAATAAAATAAACGGCTTTTGGCATTAAATTAAACTAAATCATTATGTTTCCGGGTTTTTCACTTCTATCAATGAAACTTTTATCACTAAAGTAAAGTTACTTATATACGAAAACTTACACCAATTAAATTGAATTACCGAATAGCTGGCCATATATTTCAAGGTTAATCGGCTTAAAATTCTCTTATTCAAGCCCACATTTCAATCTAGTCCTTTCACAATTTAAACGCACTTCCTCGACACTTAATATAATATATAAATAAACCGTTATATTTTGTTTACTTACCGAATGCTGCTTGAATTATTTTTTATATTCAATTTGTTTGGCATTTTGTGTGAGTATTTTGGGTTTTAATTTTTTTGGTGGTGACACATATACACATAAGTACATACATATATACATACATATATATATTTCGGGCGTGTGTGTGGGTGTTGTGGGTGTGTGTGCGTGTTTTTGAAGGGGTGGCGGGGGAAGTAGAAGAGAAAAAGAAAAAATATATAAATTTTTCTTTCATATATATATATATATATAAATATTTATCAAATGATTGCACATTTAACATGATGAGATTTTTATTTTTTTTTTTTTTGTATTTTGTGGGAATTTTTATGGAAACATGAGACGGGTTTTGTGTAAGTGTGGGTGCGCTTGTGTGGATGGCATGCAGGAAGCTAAAAAGAGACAGACGAAGGTCTGCAAAATACACTAAAACAACGAACAACGAACAACGAACAACAACTGGAAATGGAAAATTCTAGGACTTACCTGGGTCAAAAGTCACCGGCAGAGAAAATCTAATAAAACGAAAAAGCTTTTGACAGGCAATCAGGGGTTGCCGCTGGCAGCTGTTAAACGCTGACATCTATTGATTTTGACAATAAAATATTCGTTTCGAAACAGAGATTTGCACCCTTTGTGCGTTTCCAAAAAGCAAATCAAGCAATAGAAGGAATATTGGAGTATAGATGCTCAAATACCCTCGTGGATTAAGCGAAATTTCAGTTCTAATACCATAGGGTATACTATTCAGATTTTTGAAAACACCACAAAAAACATTTAACATTATCTTCATAGTTTAAATGTCTAGATGCTCAAATACCCTCGTGGATTAAGCGAAATTTCAGTTATCATACCATAGGGTATACTATTCAAATTTTTGAAATCACCACAAAAAACATTTAACATTATCTTCATAGTTTAAATTTGAATGTCTGAATTTCAAAGTTTTGGCCAAAAATAGAAAACCCTCGGAAAGAGTATGAAAAAGGGGTGAAGAGCTTGGAAATGTATTCGATTGTTTGGCCCTCTGTTTCAGTTTCAGTTTCAGTTTCATTTTCATTTTCATTTTGTGTCTCAGACCGTCCGCCTGTTGCCAACCAAAGCAAATGTCACGTTTCGTTTTTATTTCAATTTGCGATGCGAACTGGGTGTTTCCCGCAAATCTGATTTTGAACTCAATCAAGCGTGTCAGGCAGCGACGAACAGTTACGGCTATGCCACGCCTCAATTGACGCCCCTTTCGACACGTTATAACCACCGGAAAACCACAGTGGTGC